CCACACACTGGAATATATAAGCTTGACTCTCATTAGAGATCAATAAACTTGCTTTTTTAAAACTTAGTGAATCATGTACTTTTTATGCTTCTCATCAATCCTTTCAGTGAATTTTATGTAATTTTAAGTGTTATTTTGTCAACAAAGTCTCCTCTATATAAATTTGGGCCCATTTTAGTAAAGGTTCACCCTTAGGATTTGATTTTAGATTTAGTTGTTTTTGTTTTTGTTTTTGTTTTGTTTTGTTTTGTTTTTTGAGACAGGGTCTCACTGTGTAGTTGAGACTGACCTGGAATTCACTATGTAGCCCAGGCTGGTCTCGAACTCACAGCGATCCTCCTGCCTTAGCCTCCCGAATGCTGGGATTGCAGGCATGCACCACCACACCCAGCATTGATTTTACATTTAGAAAAATGATATATGTATAAAGTCGTAATAGGGAATTTCTTACAAACATTTTAAATGAATATAAGCCTTTTAGCAATCCTTTAATTTCCATCTTTCAGAGGCAACTATTTTCAAATAATTTTAATTAATTCCTTCAACATTTACCACATTTTGAGATAACCTAATTAAATTATTCTTCCTTTTTAAATTTCAGACATTATCTCTGGACTTAGGATGACAGATAAAGAGTCTATATAGATATAGGTAGTCTTAGGAAATGGCAGGCTTCACTCTGTGGTAATGTTGAGGAACCTGGCCATTTTACTAGAGGAGCCACTATAATTAGCATCTGTAGTGTTTTCACTTTTCTTTGTTGTTTCTGCAAGGAAAATATATTAATCCCTTCTGGGAGGAGAGTATACGAATAGAGACATAGGATGTGTACATGGGTGACCACTGAGGGAATGCAAGTTGGATGATTTCAATACTTATTAAGTACATTTTTACTGAATTTTTTAATTTTCAGTAGATCACCAAAATTCTTATCTAGCCTAATACCAAAAACTCCAGCCTCCCTTTGACAACCTATTCACAGCATAAATCTCTGGTCCTTTGCCCCAAAAGGGAATATAATCACCTAGTTATGTTAGAAACTTGTGTCTTTATAAAAGAAAGAAGTAAAATTCCATCATATTTGAAATAAAATCCAAACTTCTCACATCAAGATAGGTTTTTTATCATTCAATCTATAGCTGGCCAGAATTATTATAGTTCTTATCATTTTTTTTCCTGCCTCCTTTTCTTCCTTAGTTACCTTCCTTTTTAGGGTATAAATTTGAGATGGGATTATAAACTATTTAACCTCAGTACCTAAAACAATATTTGGTATATAGCTGCCATTCAACAAAAATGTTGTGAATGCTTCTTGGTGAAAGCTCAGAAACTAAATTTCAGGTTCTTTTACAATGATTTCAGATAACCCTTGTCCTCAGGTGGTAGAATCAGTACATTTTGTGATAATAAGGTTTTTAGAAGTAAGTTTTCTAGCTACAACTCAGACGCATGCCTTTTTTGTTGTGATTCCCTGATCTATGTCACAAGAATGGTGACCATAACATCAGCCTCTCTAGATTGTTGGGGGTTTAAGTGTCAGTCATGTAAAATACATTCCACCAATGTCAATGTCCTCCCCTAACCCACCTGACTAGGAAAAATTAACTTCAACTACTGATCCTGTGTGAAGTACCAGGGTTCTCCATCATTTTCTTCCTGTATGTGTCCTGCCTTCTTTCACCTACTCAGTTCCTGGACTTCAAAAGTTTCTATAGCTTAGATGTATATTTTGGATTTCAGTACTGCAGAACTGGAAGGAATAGTTAAGGCTTAGAAAGCTGATAATTTTGCTGGAAGAAACATGATGGGAGTAAAAGGTGTTGTACAGGAGGCTGGCCTGGGCTACAGGATGGCACAAACTGACTCAAAGGGAAGTGTACATTCTAGGGTAGGCAAGGGGAGGAGTAGAACAGTGGGTAGAACTGATGAATGAGAGAAAGAATTCTCTAAGCCAACACTGAATTTAGTTTGTATTTATTAGATGCCTGCAATGAGCCAGTCCAATAAATCTCACTTATTCAGCAAATAGATCAGTACCTTAGAGAACTGGGTTCTAGAGAATAGGAGACAACTTGGAATTTTTACAAGCTTTCTGTGAAGCATGGCTCTTTTTCTTATATTCTTTTAGTGAAATAAAGAAACAATGAAATTCTTATTTGGACTCTTTGCCTGTGTAAGAAAAATAACTCTGAAATTGACCCACTGGTGTCACAGTTTCAAAAAATGACACATAAAATCAATTTTACATAGATTTCTCATTCCTTCATAACAGTTATAAATACATCAGCCCTTCTCTTTGCTATCCAATATTTGAAATTCCTCTAATCTATGAAAAGCAAAGGTCTAGTTTTAAAAACCATTGAAAATAAAAACATCCATAAGACTTTATCAATTCTGAGAATAAAGTCTGACATTTTCTGTTTGGCTGTCAGTATAAAATTAAACACACAAAAAAGTAGGTATGTCTTTCTTCATATTAAATCTAAAGAAAGACCTCATATTAAGAAGGGAATAATTACTCAAATTATATATGTTTTAAAAATCTACTATAGGAATTAAATTAGTATACAGTTAATTTTCATTGTATTCTTTGATCTGGAGGAAGATGAAATTATATTAATTGTAATTATTATCTGTTCAGTATACTGTACCTCCATAATAGTACGGGTGAGTAGGTTTGCAAATCTGTAAGCAAATAGATTTATACTCATTTTAGAGAACCAAAAGAAAATATTCTAACAAATATACAGTCTTTGTATATTTGTCTAGTAAGAGATTCTTTTGTTCCTTTGATACCACATGCCTTGTTTACAAGCTTTATTTTCTTTCTCTAATTAAAGAAATAAAAAGACCTAGGAATTTTCAGGGGACACCTATATTTCAAGACCTTATTTTATCTCATTATTCTTGGCTTCTAAGTGTGTTTAATTTTCATTTTCATTGCAAAGGCAAACTTCTATTTCCTTTGATTTTTAAAATCGTGTTTCTGAATAATTTTAATTCATATGAGCAAAATAAAAATTTTTATTGCATCATTTTGAGGTTATTGAATTTCTTTCAACCAGTTATCTTCTCAAAATAATAACAAAAACAAAAGCACACATTTGCATAACACAGTTTCAAATCAATTCTACACATTTTGTTGCATTTTCTCATTTTAAAGCTTTAGGAAGTATGGAAGCTGATAATATTTTCCACACTTTATAGATAATGAAACTGAGGTACTGAGAGTTTAAAGTACTTGCCCAAGGGCATATAGCTAATAAATGATAAAATAGAGCTGCTACCCAAGACTTCTCTTCTCTGGTCCACAAAATAATCAATCATGAGTGTTTTTCCAAGCATTAAATTTCTATTTTAAACAAGTTTTTATTATGAGGTGGATCAAATAGTTATCTCTTATTAGTAAGACTAACAGTATATCCTAACAGTGATCCAAACTAGAGAGCTAGGATCACCTTAATTTTATTGTTCGTAAATAGAAGGTAATGATAGAATTTAACTCATTCAGTTGTGAGAAACAGATGAAGTAAAGTAGTTGCTATGGTTTATATCTGGATCTTTCCCCAAAGCCTTATGTGCTCACAGGTGGGCTTTTTGGAGGTGAGTGGATTTTGGAGTGGTGCTACTTATCAGTGGGATAGTCCTTTGAGGACTTCATAGCTAAATGTGATTTATAAATGATCACTGGTTGGAGAAGATGAGTCACTGGGGGCGTGGCCTGGGAGGGTATGTCATCTCTCCCCTTCTCTGTTCCCCACTGTTATGTCACGAGCTGTTTCTCTTCTCTGGCATGTATATCTGTCATTCCATCCTACCTTGGAGCCAACTGACTCTTCACAGAAACCTCAGTGAGCCAAAATAAACCACTCCTCTTTTAAACTGTGGATGTTGGGTATTGTGTCTCAGTGATGAGAAAGTAAGACAGCGGGCCGCCGCGTGGACCAACTAGGGTTAACATCCTGGCTTTCTCATACTACACATGCAAATCTACAGCAAAGTGCTTCACCTTTCTGAACTCATAAAACAAGACTAATCTAGCTCACAGATTTCTGACAGAATTAATTGAGGTAATATATCCAAAGATGTAGTATAGTTCATGCATCAGATAAGCAGTAACTTCTTCTGCTGCTGCTGCTGTTACTGTTGCTATCGTGTGAATATCTCCACTTGTTCCATTTTTGCTCTCTTTGCTATTATATTCTGTGGTTCAGGATTTCACTTCATTCCATGCACTTCACTGACCAACATGTCTGCTTTGGGTATAGCTATAGGAAAACTTCATTTGACCCAGTTTTCCCCTAGATAGTATGGTAATTTGAATATCCTTACCAAAACTCAGTTGCAACTGCCACTATAATGCTACTAAGAGAGGAGATAGTTAAAGGGTGTTTGACTATGGGGACTCTGCCTTCCTGAATGGATTACTGTTGTTATTGCTGGAGTGAGTCAGTTATATTTGGAGTTCCCTCCCCTTCCTTCTTTTTTTGCTTCCTTCTCTCTCTCCCTCCCTCCCCACCTCTCTCTTTCTTCTCTTCTTTATTATTCTCCCTTACCCCTCACCAAGTGATGGCTCCTGCCATGTTACAACACAGAAAATAGTTTCTCATGAGGTGTTATGGACTGTTGATTTGGGACTTCCCAGTCTTCATAAGCATGAGCCATATAAACTTCTATTGTTCTTAATTTACACACTCAGGTATCTTGTTAGGGCAGTGGAAAACAGAATACAATAGTCATGGTGAGATTTTGTTTTCAGGGGCCTTAATAAAAAATAATCTTGGTCATTAGTTCCATCCATTGCGTTCCTACAGCACTCAGTTTGTGCCTCTGTAATAGCACTTATGTATTGTGAGTTTCTGTTTCTACCGGTCACCTTGATGTCAGAGAGAGGAAGCTGATTGGCCCTGTGGATTCAGCCAGTAATGTCCCAAAGAACACTGGGATCTGCCCAGAATTCTAGAACCTTGAGCCCATTCTGTCATACCTGAACACAAAGAGTCAGTTATAAGAGGAAGTTTATTACATAGGTGCTCAGTCTAGTCTCTGAAATAGGGATGCCTCTTTCAAGAAATATAAAGTGAAGTGGAAGAGACCAAGACCTTTTTCTAAGTGTGTCAGAGACTAATAGAGCTTGAATTGATGAATTAAAAAATGTACAGTGTATGAAAGGAAGGTGAGACTGGAGAAATTATGTGCGGTAAAGTTCAGATAATATCAAAATTAGACTTTTGATGCACCTGTGAAAAGCACTTATGAGAAATGATGTAGGACTGGCTCTGTGTCCTACTCATTCTGGTTTTCCTGCTGCTATGCAGGGAATAAAATTCCTTTTTATACCCAGATCTAGCCCAGCAGCTGCCTCCTAACTCATCCCAGGAAAGTTTTCATGGTGAATCTTTTCCTACCAGTACATTGACAAGATTCTTCCTATTTGGTGGAGCCTGTGAGTCTTCCTCTGTGTCAATGAGAACAGAACATGGCTTCTTCAGCCCTCAGCACTCCACTGAGGAAATCCTTTCATTGAGGTAAAATTCTCATAGTTGGTGAAAAGTTGTGTTTGTGCATTCTACTATTGTTTTCTTTTTCACTTCTTTACTTTGAGTTACAGACCTCCACCTTGTCAATGATTTCCTCTGCTCTCATATCTATGTGGCTTACTTGGGTCAATCTGCATAGGAACAGTTCATTCTTTTAATAAAAGAACACTTGATGAAGGTTCTCTTTCACATTTTCCTTTAGTATGGAGATGAACTTGTATTGGCAGCACATACACAGCCAAAACTACATGCATGGCACAAGGGCCATACATCACTGAAACATATGTCATCATGCTCAAATTTCATGTGTCTCTGGAGTAATTATTTAGCACCTCTGATATATTTCTCCCTATAAATGGCTCTGGGGATTGCCTCTTTACAGCTCCAGTTCCCAGAGGGAAAAGCTGTTGCTACTTAAGACCTTCTCTCTCCAACTTTTTAACCAGAAAACCTTCTATAGAAGATCAGGTTTAAGATTTCAACCCTATCCCTACTTCTACTCTCACCTTCCCAGAAGATACAGTAGAACCTTGCCTGTTAATTCACCCTCTCTCACAGGTACTGGATCTGCTCAGTAACTCATACTGTTCTATTCTCTTGGTTGGTAGCATTTTCTACTACTTTTGATATCACATTTGAGACTGAAACGTACTGTTATTGTGGGAGAAAAAAGGATGTGTATCCTTGGCCAAGTGCAAAGGAGAAACAGGTTTGATGTAAGGATCTGACATATATCGAAAGGTGAGATGGAGGGAAGTGTGTAAATGCCAAAGTTTTCACTCAGAACAACAAAACACACACACACACACACACACACGCTACATAATTTTAGCTTTTAGATCATTTTGGACACATTTAAATATCCTAGTCATCTCAAAATTCTGAAGCCCCTAATGTTAGCTGAGAAGAATGGTGTTGTACCATGGAGATCCAAGAATCTTCACCAATGGGCATTCAAAATGAGCAGTTTAGACCATTGTAGTTTTTCTAAAAGTATTTAGAATACTTTTTGCTATCTAATATATTATGTCATATCACAGAAAATCCTAAAACCTATCAGTCTATTCGTTAATTGGCATACATATATAATATCTACGCATGTAAAACCTATAATCTCTAACTCTTAAGTGGTACCAGAGGGGAAATCACAACATGATATGAACACAAAGTCACTGTTATTTTTATAGATATCGTCTAATTCTCTCTGATTTTCAACTTTCTCTTATATATCATAAATCATATATGTCTATATATATGTCTAATCTAATACTAAAAATTAATTACAGTGTGTAGTTTGAAGTCTTTAAAAATTACAACATTTTCTCCTAATATCTATATTTTATCAACAAACAGCAGTATTTTTAATTAGTACTCTTCACTTATTTTCTCTTCTTTTGTCTCTTTCTCTTCCCATGATTTTCCTTACCACCCACTTCACCTCAAAAAGGCAATGTTTTATTAACTGCAAATATCTTATGAAAGAATCAAAACATTTCCCAGCTTCACAATCTCCAAACTAGAAATGTGTACTTTACTTTCAGAAACTTACAGTAGAAGGGGGAAAAAGGTGCACTTTCAGCTAAAACTACAATTAACTGAAATCCAGGGGTAAAAAGTGCCTTACATATTTTACTAACAACCTATTTTCATAAATAAAGGAAAGTGATCACTTTCATGTCTAAATAACCTCGTAAAAGAAAACTAATGCTGGTTGGCGGTACTAACTACTTATCATCTTACTGAGTGCTTGTTTTATGTCAGGCTTTGAGTTAAAGAAAATACATTACTTGTTTAATCGTCATTCTAAGGCTATGAGAGCAGTGTTAGTAGTATTACTGTCATTACTAAAATAAGAAATTTGAAATTTCAGATGGCTAAATACTGTGCATAATGTCAGAAAGCTAAAAGAAAATGTAGAATTGAAGCACAGAGCAGACTTATTTTAAAGCACATAGCTTTAAACCCTGTGCTCTACTACCTCAAGAATTTTTAAAGAGATTTCAAAATATATTTTGAGACAGAGATAATAAAATTCTTGACCAAATGAAATGATAATCTTCTTTTTGTCAAACTCAAATTTACATGTGGAAATCATATATTCATTTTCTTCTCAAACACAGAATTCCACAAAGATAATAAGAAAAAAATGTATGGTTTGCTTGGATATATTTTAAAGCAAATTTCTAATATATTCAATTGCTAAATAATTCTGTAAGTGTATGTACAACATACAGCTTTTATATTGTGTTATACTATGACCATACCTACAGAAACTAATGATGATCCTTCAGTATTAAATAACCAGTCTAAACTCAACTCTTCTTTGAAATTAGGAGCTGTTCTACCCCTTTATAAGTCCAGAAACCATATGAAATTTACATGCTATAATTACATATTTAAAATTTCATATGAAATATTTAACCACTAAATATTTAAATGTTTAAATTGTATAGAACAAGCTAGTAAATTATTAGATAAATTATATTTTCAATGATTTTGACAAAAGTGGCTTTAGATATAAAAACTTGAAAAATATTTTCAACTACAGCTTTTATACAATTGAAAGTTATACAAAATATCCAAGATAATCAAATATGCTCCTTGTTTAGCTGGTAATGTTTGGATATGTTATGAAGACATAACTTGTTGTTATACTAATTATCACATCAAATTTGTTTTCCTTGATCTCATTACAACAGGAACACTAATTTTTATTGTTATAGTTATAATTTCACATAATTTGTGATCTATTGGTGAGACTGATTTAAATAATTTAAAATAACGCACTTGCTTTCAAAATGTAGAAAATTTGAATGTATTTCATGGTTATTATTTACTTTTAAATTAAAATTATTTTTAAAACAATTTTATAAAATATATTTTCAACTAGTAATACATACTAAGTTAAAGACTAATAAAATTTAATCTAATAAAATAAATTTATGTTCTTCATGGCAGCAGAACAGAGAAGGCAGACAACAGCTTGCAAACCTCTGATAAGCCTGATTCTTTGGCCCAGAGCAACAGAGGAGTCCAGAAGCTGTGTGCGCTGCTTCAGCCCAATGTAGCAGAGGAACCCAGCCACATGGGCACCAACACAGCAGTGTCCAAGCCCTGCCCTCCCTTCCTTGCAAACAAGGGAAAGAGGGCTTCTCTGAGGCTCCCAGATGAAAATAAAAGCCCACTGGAAAAGTGAAGAAAACCTCTGTGATAAAAGCACATTGCACCACTATAGTTGGTAGGTCAGAGGCACAAAGACCTCACATCAGAACCTGGCGTAACTTCAGGGGAAAAATAACTGGAAACTGCAATAGAAACTTGCAGAGGTCAACCCACCTGGAGGCCAGAGATCTCAACTTGGCCCTTGAAGACAGAAATCATCTTGAACCTAAGGGGACAGCTACTGCTTTGCTGAGACTAATTAATTTAGATCTGCATTCCATGCTGTCTATTGTGTCAACAGAGGCATACCCTGAAGTAGGCCCTTTATTTGTATTTTTTATCTTCAAAGTAATATTTTTCTCTTATCTTTAATCATTTTAAAAATTTTTATCTTTTTCTTTTCTCAAATTGTTTTCCTTTTTTCTTTTTCTTATCTTCTTTTCTTTCTCTCTCTGTCTTTTCTCATTCTCTCTCCCACTCTGATCTCATTTCTCTCCCTTTTTATTCCTGTTGCTGTCCTAATTAAAATTTATTTTCTCTTTTATTTTCTTCTCTTTTTCATTCTCTCAATTGTCATTAGTTTTAAAAGAAAGTTATTACAGTCTCTAGCCTTGCTATTGCTGCTACTTTGCTCTGTTCTTGTGTATATTTTGTTTGGTCTTCTTCTTTTCTCAACAGCTTCCTAAAGTTTGTGTGATATTCCTGTGTCCTCTGACCTCACTTCTAACCTATCTCTGTCCTCTCTATATATTGCTCCCTCTCCAACTCCTTCTAAGTCCCCATCTTAAAGGATAAAGTTACTATGTTGAGGAGTTTATTCAGTATAAACAAATTTTTGGCTGGTCCTTGATTTTTATTAAATTCACACAGCCTAAGGTTATAGATTAATAATTACCACAAATTGTCATTTTCTAAGCTGTGCTTGATGCTATTGTGTGGCTGGTTGTATCACTTGGGCTAAGGTATTTTAATTGAAATAATCAGTTTTGCATCCAGGTATAATGAACATGAGATTACCTCAGAGTCATTCGAAATGCAAAACCTAAACACCAGCTATATCTGGAAGACTGAAGTATTAACCCAGGAATTAAACCAAGGACAGTACCAACAACAAAAATAGAAATGATAAGACATTTAAACAAGGCACAAACACAGACTTCCACCTCACCAAAGGTAAACTCTGGGGAAAATGAGGTGGCAAAGTCTCACAGTCAACCACCTGGACACCCTAAACCAATAGCACAGAAAGTAACAAAATAGATAAATGAGGCTCTAGAAAAATTCAAAACAGAAATAATTTCCCAGATAACCACCGAGATGGTGAGAAGAATGAAACACATATTAGAGACTCTAGAACAGAAACAGATAAAAAAAAAAACCTAGATGATCTCAGGACCATGATGGAAACCATGAATGCCCAGCATAGGGAAGAAATGGAATCCATAAAACTGATTCAGATATCCAGATTAAAAATTCTACAGAAAGCATTCACAGTAGAATGAACAAAAGTGAAGATAGAATTTCAGATATAAAAGTTAGGATTGCAGTCAGTGACCACGAAAAGAGAGATGTCTTAAAAATAATAAGGGATTATGAGAAATTGATCAAAAAACTCCTAGATGATTCAAAGAAGAATAACATAAGAAAATAGGAATCCAGGACGTAGCAGGAGAAAATACAAATGACATAAAAAATAAACTGTTCACAGAATGAATGACAGGAAACTTGCCAAACAGAGGGGAAGAATTTGACATTCAGATAACTGAGGCATATGGAACTTCAACTAACCATGAACAATAAAAAAAATCTATACCTAGACATATAATAATCAAAATCCCAGAAACCCAACAGAAAAACAAAATACTATAAACAGTTAGACAAAAGAAACAAATCAAATGCAAAGGAAAGTCCATCAAAATCACAGCAGTCTTTTCAACACAAACCCTCAAGTCAAGGAGAGCCTTGAGTAAGGTAGTTCAAGCTTTAAAAGAAATGAACCTCCAAGATAGAATGATGTATCCTGCCAAACTCTTTCAAAATTGATGGGTAAATAAGATACTTCCACAACAAAAAAAACCTGAGAAATTTCACGAACCCCAAACCAGCACACTAAATACTTCTAAACGATATCCTGGAAAAAGAAAATGAAGGCCACTATTCCACAAGGGCCAACAGAGCAAATACACCAGGCAAGGCAAGAAATTAAGGGGAGAGGTGAAAAAAATAAATAAAAAAACCAACATGAAAATAAGATGACAATGAAAACTCAGTACATAATAGGTATAACCATCGATTTTAATGGCCTCAATTCACCAATCAAAAGAAAAAGATTGGCAGAATGGATTAAGAAGCAAAATCCAACAATATTCTATATATAAGAGACACACTTATTCCACAAAGAAATTTATAGACTGAGAGTAAAAGGATGGAAAATAGTTCTCCATGTGAGAAGAGCCTGTAAAAAAGTGGGGACAGATATCTTATTTGCAGACAGACCAGATTGCATACCAAAACTAATTAAGAGAGACAAATAAGGCCACTACTTCCTTGTAAGGTGAATTACAAAAGAGGAAGAAATGACAACCATAAATATATATACATCAAATACTAATGGTCCCAAGTATATAAAACAAATACTAATAGATATGAAAAATGAAATAAACACTAATATAATTGTAGTGGGGGACCTCAGTACTCAACTGTCACAAATAGACATATTATCTAGGCAAAAAAATCAACAACAAAATAAAATAAATAAGTCACACATGTGTACATACTGAATAGTTTCTCTGGTGTGAAAAACTATAATGGTACATAAGATCCTAATGGTATAATTGACAATGTGAAATAGGAAGAAAAGGGCTAAAGGTGTAGGGGAAATGGGAAGGGTAGGGAAAAGGTAATAAGAGAAAAGAAAAAAAAACATGAGAAATTGAAAAACTGGAAATAAAGTATTTGTAAATAGGGAAGGGAGGAGGGGTGAAGGAAGGGCAGGAATAAGGGGAAAAAATTAGAACCAAGACCTGTCATGTAAAGGTACAAGATCCCAATGATGACTAACTGTACTGTATACTTAAAAACATACCAATAAGCTGAATGAGAAAAAAAAAAAATAACAGAACTGAACTAAGTCTTAGAACATCTGGACTTAGATGTCTACAGAGGGTTCCGCCCGACAAAATCACAATATACATTCTTTTTGGGTGCACATGTAATTCTCCAAAATATACCACATGCTAGTTCAGGTCACATGTTTAAATAAATGCAAAGAACTGAAATTATCCTCTGTATATTATCAGACCATAGGGCAATTAAACTGGAGATCAATAGCATAAGAACCCACAAGAAATTCACAACACATGGAAATTAAATAACGCTCTGCTGAACAACCATTGGGTAACAGAGGAAATGAAAGAAGAAATTAGACAGTTTGTACAATTAAATGGTAATGCCAATACAATATACAGGAACCTAAGGGACACAATGAAAAAGTTCTACAGGGAAATTCATAGGCAGTAAATGTCCATACTAGGAAAACAGAGCTAGTTCAAATAAACAACCTAATGCTTAACCTTAAGCTCCTAGAAAAATAAAAGAAATAAAAACCCAAAGCTCATACAAGGGAGGAAATTATAAAGATCAGAGCAGAAATTAATGCAATGGAGATTAAGAGAATGATACAAAAAAAGACAATGAATTGAAGAGTTGGTTTATTGAAAGGTTAAATATAATTGGCAAACCCTTAGCCAACTGTATCAAAAAACAAGGAAAGAAAAGGCTCAAATTCATGCAGTTAGGAATGAAAATGGAGAATATACAACAGATGCAGCAGAAATCCAGAAGATTATCAATATCTACTTTGGAAACCTGTTCTCTAGAAGAAATGGGAAGATTCTTAGATACAAATGAACTTTCAAAGTTAAATGAAGAAGATATAGAAAGTCTAAACACCCCAATTGCACTCAGTGAAATTGAAAATGTAATTAAAACATTACCAACAAAGAAAATCCCAGGTTCTGATGGCTTCACAGCTGGATTCTACAACACATTTAGAGAAGAACTATCTTTGAACTCTCCCACTACACTTTGAACTCTTCAATGAAATTGAAAGTGAAGCAATACTTCCAAATTCATTCCTGGAAGCAAGCATTACTTTGATTTCAAAACTAGAGAAAGATCCAACCAAAAAAGATAACTACAGACCAATCTCCCTAATGAACATGGAGCCAAAAATCCTCAATAACAAACTGGAAAAAAAAGAATAGAGAAAATCATCAAGAAGATCATACAGTGTGACCAAGTTGGATTTATCCCAGGAATGAAAGGATGGTTCATCATATGTAGATCAATAAATGTAATACACTATATTAACAAAGTCAAAGACAAAAATCATATGATCATCTCTATAGATGCAGAAAAAACACCTGACAAAATTCAACACCAATTCATGATGAAAACCCTGAAGAAAATTGGAAGAGATGGCCTTTATTTCAACTTGATAAAGCCTATCTATGAAAAACCAACAGCCAATATCATACTAAATGGTCAAAAGCTGAAAACCTTAATGCTAAAATCAGGAACAAGACAAGGATATCCACTGTCATCACTCCTGTTCAACATAACTCTGGAAACATTAGCCACAGCAATTAGACAAGAGAAAGAAATAAAAGGGATAAATATAGGAAAGGAAGAAGTTAAACTATCACTATTTGCTGATGATATTATACTCTACATAAAAGATGCAAGAAATTTGGGGAAAAAATTTACCAACTGCTCCTCAAAGGACTACTATCTAGAAAATGTAAAGAACTCAAAAAAATCAGACCTCCAAATACAAAGACCTGATTCAAAAATGGGCAACTGAAAAGAACAAAAATTTCTCAGACAAGCAAGTGAAAGCAGCAAATAAACATATGA